TTTTTAATTTTCCGAACAAGCGGACGCCATTTTGTTTAGTCAGTGCTTCCACTTCCAAAGATAAATTTCCCTAATATTGCCTCAAATTTCAATTTTCCACAAACTTTTTCCTCTAATTGGAAACACTTACAAGCATGATCCAATAAAAAAGTTTAGGGTCGGGATTTCGACGTCCAAAAGCTAGGTAGGGTCGGGAAACCGGAAACCCACATTTTTTTTTTGGCCTTACCTTTGTTCCATTCTGCGCTTACATTATCATGCAGAAAATATAAATTGGATTGCAAAAACTATATACACTGTTTAAACTTACCTCAAAGGATCAGCCTTGGCGCTCTGGTGAAATATTCTAATCATTTTGTACCTTCCAACCGCCATGCCTGGTCGAGTTAGTTTAAATCCTTTCGCGGTTATCCTAATAGAAGAAATATTGAGCTTAAAACTGTATTACAGTAGGACTGTTACAAGGGGTAGGTGATATTCTATAGCACCTGCGTTGGTTTGTGTCTGAACTACCTGAAAACGATCTCTCAAATGTGGTTGTCCAGTGTAGGTATGTATATTATTCTACATTAAGCTGTCGTGGTTTGTGTCTGAACTACCTGAAAACGATCTCTCAAATGTGGTGGTCCAGTGTAGGTAGTATTATACAGTAAGCTGTCGTGGTTTGTGTCTGAACTACCTGAAAAAGATATCTCAAACGTGGAGGTCTAGGGCAAGTAGTATATTCTGTACTCTGCAGTAAAGTTCCAAGATTTTTGTTTAAACTACCTAGGTTTGGGCCTTTTGACCAAAGGTCCTTCGTTACAAAGTTTACATTGAATGCATTTTGTTTGAAACGCAAAGGCTTTTAACATGTTTTTCATGTACTTCAGACACAAACGTTAACCACAGAAGCTTATATTTCAAACTATTTGCTCCTTAAACTGTACCTTCTATAAAGATCATCATCTTCGCCACCCCAGCCCCAGAATTGGTTGGAAAATCCATTTATTTTCTCAAAATCTTCTTTTCGGAATGCACCAGCACCGCCGAAAATCGCTTGATATGGTAGCCTATAATGTTCAAAGAAAAATATTAAGACAGAATTTTATCCTAAGGGCTAAGGGAAGTGCTGCAATGGGGCCAAAGGAAAGCTAGAGTTGTTTTAAAATAAGCCTTATTTTGCAAGTCCAAGTCAAGTCATGTACAAGCCATTTTTGGCAAGCTTAAGTCAAGTCACAAGTCATTAACTCAGAGTATACGGTGTAATCAGCAGAATTATCTGACAGTGTCAATTTCTGATTGTATAAAACTGATTGTTGAGAAAATACGCACTTTACAAATTCTATACATTGCGTGTTGATACCGTTGGCAGTGTTTGCCAGGGATTCAATGCACATCAAGTAGGGGCGCACAGGAATTTGGTTCTGGCGGGTTAGTTCCGGCTGGAACCGAGTTTATTCTAACATTTGCGAGCTCTCTTCTTGATGACTTGAAGTGTCTGCCTGTCTGGCAGTAGACAAAGTAACATATGACTATATATGGCTTAATAAATCCAGGCCTTAAAATATCTTTTACAGGGCCGTCTGACAAAATGTCCGATGACATTGAGTTTGGGTCGGACATATGTCCGATGACCTTCATTTCAGTTCTGACTCGGAAATAAGTCTGAATGACACAAATGAATATCAGCACAATGTATTAATTCTGAACGGTAAATATTGTGAAAATATTAAGTAATTTGTTTCTTTCATACTCATTTCCAAGCCAAAATTAACTTGCTTGCCAGAACAGCAGTATTAAAAAAAAACTTCGACAACTTAAGCCCGTTTTCCACTTCACCATTTCGCTTGCCACCCGCCGCTCGACTACGTTAAAACAACATTTCCAGTTCATCTTTTATACAATAGTACTCTGATTCTCTATTTAACATACGAGCCTCTAGTCCTGGACTAAGGTACATTTTGATTTACGTTGGACAAAGCTACAGTTAGGTCGGACACCAATACACTCGGGTCGGACAAACAATAAACCTCAGTTTCACTTAGGTCGGACAGAATGTCCGGTGGTTTCCTCTCTACGTCGGACAATTTCACGAATGGGTCGGACAATGTCCGTGACCGATCGATATTTTAAGGCCTGAATTTAAATCAGTTCCGGTTCTGTCCAGAACTTATTTCCAGTTCCGGCCAGATCCGGTTCCGGCCAGAACTTAAAAAATTGGTTCCAGTGCACCCCTAACATCAAGTCCTCCAAGATAATGTTATAGCCTACAACAGTCTGTGTCAGTGTATGCATGTATAGTGCCAATAATCACAAAACTTCAGTTGGTAGAAATTCAACTTTTCGAGCAATATACAATTACTTTATGGTTTCCGTGTTTGGATGGCCTGATCCAAACACGCGGGAATGTTGCGAGAGTTAAGAAAAGCGCGCGAAACACGAGCCGAAGGCGAGTGATTTTGCCCGCTTTTCTTAACTCGAGCAACATTCCAAAGTGTTTGGATCAGTCCATCCAAACACGGAAACCATAAAGTAATTGTTTTATAAAATAACAACAACACGGTAGTCTTCCGTGTTTGGATGGCCTGATCCAAACACGGCTTTCGACCAATCAGAATACGCGTTATATACATGTTATTTTATAATATACATTCCTACATATTTACGAACAACAGTTTGTTTGCAACGAACGACACTTGCTACACATGCATAGTTTTCCACGTTCTAGGTCTATCTATATCGAAGACAGTGTTCAGTTTATTGGTATAATATATATATATATATATATATATATATATATATATATATATATATATATATATATATATATATATATATATATATATATATATATATATATATATATATATATATATATATATATATATATATTTCAAACACTCATTAATAATTCATAAGCTTATTGGCAAATCATGTCAACCATAATATGTCACGTGCAGTGGCTTTAAACCTGATAAAACACTCCTAATTAGTATTCTTTATATAAAGAATACTAATAAGGCAGTATCTATTGTAGTCGTGTCCTCATTAGTATTTTTTATATAAAGAATACTAATAAGGCAATAAATCTATTGAATTTGTAGTCGTGTTTGAAGCCGTTCAATAAAACTCGCAGGTCGTGTTTTATTAGGTCTAAAGCCACGAGCGCGCAGCGCTAGTGGCTTTAAACCTAATAAAACACTCCTGCTCGTTTATTAAACAGTATATATATATATATATATATATATATATATATATATATATATATATATATATATATATATATATATATATATATATATATATATATATATATATATATATAGAAAAGGTTTCAATGTCTATACTCTTCGTCATCTAAAAGTAAGCGAACACTTAAATATGTGTAACAACGGAATTTTCAAAATAATGCCTATATATCAATGCATTAACACGGACAGACTTTTTAGGGAGATGAAAGAGAAAGAACTTATCAATATACTGAATCCGGATCTGAACGCTAATTAAAAAACCATAAAGTTTATGCTTACATTTAGATCAATAGAATGTTTTTAACGGGTGACTTCACACCATGTAAATATATGCATTCCTAACATAGTTATTATAATATGATATCATAGAGCGTAGATAATAGATAAACTAAATTCCACTCATTGTAAATATGCACCTGAGGAGCTAACATTAAAGCGAAAACGTTTGTGCAAAATTTGAGTGGCTTTTATTTTATTTTACGTTATAAATGTCTCTTTTGGTTGCACATTGAAACCTTTTCTATATACAACACTTGTATCTTGTTATCAGCAACATTTCACTATATATATATATATATATATGTATATATATATATATATATATATATATATATATATATATATATATATATATATATATATATATATATATATATATATATATATATATATAAAATGTTTGCTTTTTAAATTTCCAATTGTGCTTTACAGATAAAAATTTCAAACAACCAAATTGTTTTTGATTGAGCATGCATCATGCCTACCTTATATTGTTACCCAGTGAAACTGACGATAGCCGATTTAATTCGCGCGAAAAGCATATGCTCGGAGCACACACTCATTTCAGCCATATAATAAACCAATTATTGACCTCGTTTGTTCGGTCTGTACTGTGAAATATCAGAACTCTGTTTTTTGCATGGAACTCGCTCCTTCGTCGCTCGGTCCATACTAAAAAACTTCGGTATGATATTTCACAGTACAGACCGCACGCTCGGTCAATAAGCCTTTAATATATATATATAAACAAAATATATATATATATATATATATATATATATATATATATATATATATATATATATATATATATATATTGCGGACGCTAACTGCTTGCAGTTTGAGCGCTCTGGCACATGGTTTTGATGTCCCACAATCGTGAGGCATCAAAGGTAACTGTAAATAGCAGGTACTTTCATCCTGCTCATCAGCACTACACTGATGAGGCCCATAAGGCCGAAACGCTACCGTCTGTATATATATATATAAATCAGCTAAAATCATTCATTGGAAACCATATTCCAAAGAATGGAACGCTAATGGCAACACCACAGGAAGCGAGCAACCCGAATCCGAGGAACAGCTTCATGTTTGGATAGAAGATAGAGAGTTGCACGATCATGAATTAGAATCCAAGGACAGGTGACTGAGGTTTATTTATTAC